ATTTATGCTCCCTGCTGCATTTGGCAATCCTCCCCTTTCATTCCTTCTCTGTTCAGGTGCTTCTGTCTCCAGCAGTGGTCAGGCATGGCATGTGGACTGAGATGAGTGTTAGAAGCCAACCTAGAAAGTCTTTAGAAATGAGCTAGGACACAGAACTTCATGAACTATCCCACTGAAGAGCACAGACATCAACGCAACAAACTGACAGAATCTCTGTCTGGAAAAATCCTTGTAAAACAGTGTTCTGTTCATTTCTAGTCAGCCCTGTAGGGTTTCCATGTGAAACATGGAGCCTGGGAGAAAAGGCTGGAGTTTGCTTTAGAGGACGAGTTACTCTGAACATCCATGCCAGGGGCTGGGGAGAGGAAGAGGAGCATGAAGAGACAGCAAAGTTCTTCAGCCATTCTATGGGCCCTGGCAATGGGGTCACTGCTGAGGAGTGAGAGGCTGTGCCTCAGGGAAAACGGGAGACTCCTGGGGCAGAGAAGCACTTGGAAAGCACTTTTGAAATTACAAAATGTCTTCTTCAAAATATTAGGGGGAATGTCTTCTTAAAAAAGTTGTGGAGTTCCTCTGCAAGGGCTGGGTTTTACATCCCAATGGATGTAAATATTCTGTTTGGAAATAGGAAGATTATGCTTACTTTTAAGTAGATGTTTTAAAGCTTCATGGAGATTGTGATAGGTCCCTCTCCCATTTGTGGATATTCTTCAAATGGAGATCTTTGAAGGGGGGGTCTTTCAAGTGAGCATCTTCCATCCCAAACTGTGAAAAGTACTTAGGGAAAAATTTGTCTGCTCTTCAGAGAAATCTTATTCTAAGGATTAAGTTGAGGATGGCACTCATGGCATTAGATGCAACCAGGCATGACTTGCAAATATGAACCTATTAAAGTAATTAATTCATTTCCTCCAACAAATGGTGCGATTAAAAATGTGCCTAGGGAATGCTATAAATATACATCTATGACTTGAAACTTTCCTTCCCAAGAATCTCTGGCTAATCCCTAGTGAACAACCTGTCTCTTAACTCAAACCATCAAATGAAAATGAACAGCCAAATATTTTAAACTATTGCTTTTTATTATAATTACACTGGAGCACAAATAAATAAGCACTAAATTATTGTAAAATATTGTCAATGCACTAAAGAAAGCAGAATTGATCTTCAAACAACATCTTATTACTTCAGAAGTATCAAAGTACATTTAATTACATCTTACCTAAAAAAATCAAGTACAAAAATGAAAAGAAAATTAATATGTATTTATACCGTGTATATAGAAACGGCTAATAATATATGATTACAGTTAGCCTCTAGCTACTCCTTACTCCTACACAATCTCAGGCACATACCTGACAATTTCTAATGAAATATAAAAAAAAGCAACATGACATTCAATTTCAAGATATTGGTAAATGTATTACATCGGAATGAACACAGAATGATTTCATTTTATTTAAAAACCCTGTCATTTAAAAACATAGTGCCATTGTCCACTTAAAAATAAACAACCTAAACCAAGAAAAAAAAAAACCATACTATTTTATACCATTTGCTTTAATTTGTCAAAAGGAGCGATAAAGTAGACATACATTGGCTAATATACGTAAACACATTTTTAGTGCAAGAATAACAAGACCTGTGACTTTACTGTGCTTTCTTGAAATCACAGTGCACTTTACACAAATTGCTACACTATAATGTTTACCTTCAGGAGTTTAAAGCAAAATAAGTGCATACCAAACAATTTCATATATACAGTCTTCACAAGTGTGTGTATATATGTGATCTGTATGTATATACAGATTGCATATTTATACAGACTACAGCTTTAATGACCGTGTGTAACTAAGCACTGTCATTCACCCTGTGACACAGAAGCTGCTGAGACGAGAGGTGGTGTAGGAAATGTTTAACAGCGTTGTGATGGCAGCTCTGGGCAGTACGATGTGCCTTTTACTCGAGGGGTGGGGTGGGCCAGCAGTCCCGGGACAGGTCAGTGGCCCGTGCCCTGTCCTGGCTCTGTCCCTGACCTTCAGAAACTACTCCACCCGAGCCTCACTTCCCTTCTCTGTAAAACGGTTCTCGCCAGTGTGAGGTTTACTTCACATTTCTAAAGTGCTTTGAAGGTAAGTGCTAAGTCATATTTTACTTTGTCATGTTGTCGCACTTTGGAAACAAAAAGCCATTGTTTCCATGGGATACAATGGAGGTCTGGAAGCACATGGGCAGTTATTTAGGAAGGACAACACAAACGGTGTTGAGCAATAAAAGCAAAACAAGGAGTGGTTTGTGGCGGGCTAAGTGTACAAGCAAGTCTGCTTAGGACAAGAATGCTTCAATTCCCTGATCGTTATTCCTATTACGTATTGATATGAAAAGGACACGATATGAACAAACACTGTCAAACACGGAATTGTTCACATTAACACCTGCCTTCCCCCAAAGGGCTGGGCACTGCAGCCCACAGGTCTGGGCTGTGAAACTGCTTCAGCAGCGGGGTTTTAAAGGAATTCTCCAGGAAGAGACCAGTGTGGAGAAGGACTGTCTGGACTGACTGAATGCCATCTTCCATTTTGTCACCAGAGACCTCGTGCAGTTGGGGGAAAGGGCTGAGCTCAGTATTTCACACATGGTTATGGACAATTCTTCTCTTGCCACATTACAAGGAAGACAAAGCATAAACACTTTCTGAATAATGAACCTGTTATCTCAACAGATTTCTCATGACCAACAAGTTGTCTTCTTTCCAGCAGATTCTGGAACTTTGCGAGATCTCTGGAGTTTTCCTTCTGCCATTTTCTTTCTTTAAAAAAAAAAAAGAGAATAAGCAGAATATACAGTTGGTGTCTTTTGGACGTAACGTGTATCCAAAGATTCCTTCACAGCCTCTGGGTTTTTTTTTTTTCATGTCTTCTGTCATTTCAGCTGTGAAGGGCTCTTTAAATCCTCATTTCAATTGTGTACCCATTCCAGCCACTGTATATTCACAACACACCCATATTTAATGTATGCAGGTATATATGTATGCACACATCTATGCGTATATATAGATACATGCATATATACATATATATGTGTGTACACATATGCATATATACATATACAATAATGCTAATATACACACACACATATAAACACACACTTTATCCTTTACAGAAATCTCAGTTTGGACATCAAAATATACATTAGTTAATTAGTTATAAAATATTTAAAAACTTTATTTCAGAGGCTGAAAAGAAACTACTACTGATAAAGCATTACTCAAACTCAAACTTTAGCAATATAGATTACAAAAAACCTTCTAAAATTTGTTATTTTTGGTTCTTTTTTGATCAGCAATTACAGCAGTGGCAATGCTGTCAATATAATTTCAAAGAAAAGCCAATATAACAAGAAGTTTCAAACAACACACCTTTTCTTCTCGGCAAATATAATATTAAAATGATTGTTTTAAAGAGGGACTTTTGTGCTACCAAACTTCAGACACATAGATAGAAATTTAAATATACAAAATATATGCCATAGATCTTTTCTTTTTCCTACTCCACAGAAGTACAAGTTTCCCTTGTTCTCAACAGATCCTTTTGGAAGATATTTCATCACACGGATTTCACCCTCATAATCAGCATAAGCCATCTCTTTCTCCCATTAAAACCAGGAGGTCATAATTCTTTGGTCATGACATAATATTCTGTTAAAATGGGTGTAATATAATACAGCATAGCAAGCCAATTACAGAAGCAGCCAGGGAGAAGAAACGGCATAGCCGGGAGGACACGTTACGTGGGCCTCTGCTTCAAAACCGCGTGAAATCAAGAGGGATTTCCCCGCTGGCTTTCAAGGGGTCTGAATCCCAGCCTTTACGAACAACACAAGGAAATCTGACACGGCGTTAAGTAAGGATGTGTTGCTGGATCTAAAAACAATAAAAATGTAAACAGGTTTCTGTCGCCTTTATTTTCCTGGACCAAAGACGAATGTGGACAGGGACGGTGGCTGCAGTGGCACTGCCTTAACCTGCTGAGCGACCGGGTCTCTCTGTCACGGGCTGTACAATGCTTAGTCACAGTGAACCATGGTCTCTGCTAATCAGCTGAATGCAATGGAGGAAGAGTTTTCATTGCAGGCTTTGCTGCAGAAAATTTAGCTTCTTGGCCAGATAATTTTAGCAACCGATTCATATAAAACCAAGGGCAATTTATCTGATTAACGTCATGGGGAAAACAGATGCAGAGCAATTAATGTTTTAACTGCAACTTGGGCATTCACATTAAGCACTTCGGTTTTCAGTGCTTGCAGTTTCACTGTTTCCCAACAGAACTCTCTCCTTTGTCCATCCTCCCCCAACCCCTCCCCCTAAAGCTAAGGACATCTAACAAGTACAACTCTATAGTTATCTTCTACAGCCCTAGCACCATGTTGCTTTGTACATTGTACTCTTCAACGAAACGTACAACCACATGCTTTTGTACAGAGGCCACATCTAGGCAGGTCAGAGAAATAAAATGATGGCGGCAGGGGTGAACGGTAGAAGAAAACATAGAAAATAGGTAATAAAACAGTATAACAGTAACATTATATAGTAAAATTCTTCATAAATTTTTGAATTCTTATATATATATATATTTAAACAGTGTATTAGCTTGGGTGTTTTCAATATATTGGCGAAATATTTACATTTTGATATCTTCTGGATCCAAAAAAATCCTGGATAAATACGTATGCCTTAATCCAGTCAGAAATGTAAATCTCTCTCTTGATTGACAGGTGAGCACTGCATCGGTGTGGGGTTTTTTTCCTAGGAAGTTCACCACCTGCAGATAAGTCTTAGGTTAGAGCCTTTGCCTTATTAAGAAAGCAGGCTACCTGTGCTCGGCGCAACACAGTGGAGAAGGAATCCTCCACAGGCCTGTCAAATTGCAGTGTCCCAGAACACAGTTTGTTGTTTCGAGTAAGGAGGAGGGCTGTATTTCTTGGTCCCGGTATTCTTTTTCCAACTTGGCAAAATAGGCATGCTGTCCTGTTTGCAGAGTCCTTTCTCTGATTTCTGTCGAGCTTTTATTTCTTTGCAGAGGCAACGCTTTTTTTCGATCATATCCAGCATCGTGTGGTCCCCTTGCAACCACTGCATACACGTGACCTATTGGAGGGGGGTAGAGGGAGAAAGAAAAGAAGGAAAAAAAAAAAAAAAGAGGAAAAAAGCATACCAATAACTATTTTGGTCATAGATTAAATATGTTGTTTCTTTGCAAGGTCAGCTTACTCCTTTTTGAAACTGGAATTTGTTTGATGAATAAAAAAATCTTGATGCCAACAACAGAATCAAAGCTAGTCTTTACTTTTAACTACTTTGTTAAGAAAAATGGGTAATAAAAGGTCCCGTTTTAACTTCTCCAGACACTGAAAGCTAATAAAGATAAATGTTTATGGCTAACTAGCACTGGTTGGATTTTAAGTGATGGAATAGATCTTAAAAAGGAACATGGGTCTTAACAACATCCTTAAGTTGTGGAAATAAAAAATTCTATACGCTGAAACCCATGTTTTATATTGCTTTCCAAATCCAATCTGTCACATTAAAAGCAGGGTGTTAACACTTCTGAGTATCAAGCTAAATATAACTCTGTTTAATTTTGTTAAAATGATTTAATGAACTCCATGCAAATTATATGGATTAACCTATCCTACTCTGTGACATTCCATTAACACCAAGGCACTAAGAGTTTAGAAACTCCATGTTTTCATGCATGTAGAATGTTTGAAAATGTGATCTTGATCAAAGAATTGAGGTTAGCATATGTTTAGCTGTAAGTACATGTCACAGCCCCTCTGAAACCAAGAATGTGGCTTCATTGGAGTTCAGCGGGTTGTTCACGGCTGAAAATGCGCCTGCCTTCAAAGGCTTTTGATTAGAACTGAAATCCTTATTAGTAAACTATCCTGAAAGGGCTCATTGGTTTTTGATATCACACTGTATACCTGCAAATCAGAAAACTTCCTCTCACCATTTACTTTGCAAATTTAAAGGGATGTCTTGAGTCTCCCGACATGCATTGCCCACCCTGGTCATGAATTAAGGATTTGTAAGTGTAAGCACATCATACCTTCACAGGGGCTGTGCAAGTACATCCCTGCTCTTGTCGTGAACATTTTGGCAGCGTTTTATGATTCATGAAGGAAATATATCCTTATTATTAAAGGTATTTGGGTCCCTTTAATTGTGCACAGGTCTTTAGATCACAAGTCTTAGAAGGCCAAGAGTAGGCATTCACCGTGTTCCTGGAACTGGGGACTGGTTTGCTAAGAAGCCACTATAGAAACTTCTATTGCTCTGAGTGGTTCTTGTGGTCAGCTTGAAGCATATCCAGCATATATTGATAAATAGATAAAGAAAATGTTCTGATTCATACCAGGAAACAATGCAAAAGAAAGAAATGTGAGCAAGCCTACCAGAAAAAGTAATAATAAATTACATACTCAAAGAGAAAAATAAATAGAATACAGTAATGTGTGCATTTTTTGGTTAAAAAAAATAAGGAACAAAACAGGATAAAATAATTTTAGATAGAATTCCCTTTCTTTATACCGTAACAAAACCAAGCTTACCTTATACACCAGGTAGTACTCTGAGTAGAATAAGTTTAAACCACAGTACGAATCTTGATATTGAATATTCTTATGAATTTTGAATTACACAGGTAACTTATCTGCAACATGTCCTCCTGAGCGGCCGAGCCATTCTTCTGGAAGTCTGCTAGGCCTGCATTTTAAATTGAATACTTATCTTTCGTTTCAGGAGTGATCTAATGTTTACTGTGGTGCAGGCAGGTGTGAGGCACATCATCTGCCATGGCCATGGGACTTTGTCTCTTTGAGTGCTCAGGCTTGGTCCAAACCTCAGTGACTGAACCAGAGATTCTCCCCTCCCCACCCTGGGCTCAGCTCCACAGATGTGTGGACGAGGCTCTACCTGACACAGATTTCCTGCCCCTCTGCTCGTCAGCGATGGGTCGGTACTTACGCAGCAGCGTCTTCAGTCTGGCTGGGTCCTCCTACGCCGGGAAGGACAGGGACACAGTCTGCACACAATTCATTACCCAAAATATTCACCAGCACACCAGCTTCTGTGCTGGACTTGACGACAACAGCGCTTGAGTACGGGTTTCCTCTTCTAGGCATCGGGACACGCCTTCTCTTTTACAGCCCATCAGGCAAGCAAAGAGAGCACGTGCCAATCCCTTCTGGAACGCTGTGTGTCCCAGTCACCACGCACCACACGCAGCACACACACCATGAGGGTGCTGCATCCACATCGCCCCCACACTCACCACTGCACCACACGCAGTGCGCTGCCAGCGCCGTGTCTTTTGGTAGCCGACCTCCTTCGCGGGATTCAAGGGGACTGAAGCAGCATTCTGACATGCTAACTTCTAAAATACCAGTTGCAACACTTCCCAAAGACAGAAATGGTGTTGTAGAATGTATCAGTTACATGGTCACTCTGACACCCCATGCAAAACAGCCCCTAAAATAAACCCAAGGATAGGTAGCTTCAAAATCCTCTTTTATACTGGCCACTGTATTTTGTTAGAGTTAGTGAATCAAATGTTATGAAGAATTTGAGTTTTTCCACACAGATTTTCAAGTCCACTTGTGATTTTTTTAATGCTATTTTTGTTCAATGGCTAAGTCCTTCACACTAACATTTTCTTAGGTGTACTGTCCACATGGCACAGTCCTCTCCTGTACTTGCATTCAGGTAATTGTGTGTGCAGGAAAAATGTGCAGAGCTGGTACATGCAAAGTCATTTGCTAAAATAGACCAAGTGAACACATATAATGTGCAAAGGCTTGGGGAAAAAAATAGCTTAAATGTGAGAACAAATATGAAAGGGTTTAACTGATAGTTTTGCCAAGCTCTAGTGTTTAAGTGCAGCAAAATCAAAATGTTTGGAACAAGGGTGCATGGCCTCCTGAAGCTGCAGAATAGACCTAAGAGGAAATCCCCAGTTTGTAGATCGAGCTACAGATATGAAAATAGCCATGCTGATGATACAAAGTCCCAGGGGGTTAACTAAATTTTCAGGGTGTCCTAGACAAACAACAGGCACTGAGGCTCACAAGCCAGGACTCAACCCAGCTGATTAATCACAGCAAACCCCCTTGATGACGCCAGTAGGACTACCAAGGTGTTTAAAGCTAATGTGTTTAACACTGCAGACTTCAGCCTAATCCTTCCTGTGACTAAATTGATGGCACTCACACTTAGTTACAGCACTAATTTTTTTCACATCCTCAGCCTGCTCCTCTGGTCATGCACCATGTTGTTAATACCCCTGCTAAATCATAACAAGGAATTTGTTCAGTGAGAGGCACAAAAAAGTAATGATGTTACCAGATAATTTATGGAAAAAAGTTGAGCATTCAAAACACTTCACAGCTATACAGCTCTCCTGGGAAAGATCCCATAGTTCTTGAGGAATGGTACACACACTGCAGCATGTCAGAGTTTGGCTGAAGATACAGATGTAGGCAGACAGGCAAAAAACGCATCAACACTGGAGGTAACAGCCAACAAGACAGCACAGGAGAGACAAAGTTGGTTTTGACCAAAGAATCTTGGCCCAAAGCCTGTTCTTATTGAAGAGAAAAGAAGGAGCCAGCAGCTAATGTTAGAACTGTAAGGAGGGACCTTCTGGAGACTCCAGGATGTGTATTAGGTACTACGTCACATAATACCCTCTGGATTACAGAATTTTCTGATTGCACATCAATTTTTGTTTTGAAGGAATTTTTGCTCATTAGATTAGCCAGGGTCTAAGAAACTTTTTTTCTTACTTTTATTTTGAAACAAACAGAGAAAGAAAGTGAAGGAAAAGCCCAGAAGTTTGGACATTCACCATGGAGGGGTTGGAAGTAGGCTCAAATCCTCGATCCTAAGAAGGAAAAAGCTATGTGATAACCTGATGTGTAGGAAGCACACAGGAACATAGAGTAGTTGGATAAATTCTCTCACCTGAATGTGACTGAGTGCAAGACTAAGTGCAGTCTCCAGTTTTTCTTTAAAAATCTTAAAAGCAAATGCTTATGCCAAACTTGAACGCCAATGACAAAAAGTAGTAAACTTCTTCCACTGTACAAAGCTGAATTCTTCTATTCTGTGTTAATCACCTGCTTTGTTGAAGGCTTTAGGAGAAATCAGTCTATGTTGCCACCTTAGTTTTACTACTTGCCTTCAGTTTTCCAATGCTTTTATTGCAAAAACATTGGAAGTAAATTTCATTAAGATCTGTTATGTACTCTTGGGTTCTATGTTGGCACAGTACCATGGAACAAGAAGTAATATTATAAACCCATCTTCAGCTAAGAAAAAACAACACCTTTACAGATCCTCAAAAAAATGTAGTATCTTTTGCCTAAGAAAATCTTTCAGAGTATAAAAAGATCACTTCTGGTGAGTGTTTTAATGCTTTATGAAGGTCAGAGAAATAAACTCGACAAAGTGGTTCCCTTCTCTGCAAAGTGAAAATGATATTTTTGTGTTTAGATGACTTCATTAGCAGTGGGTCTGACTTCATATCTCATACGATTGAAATTTTGCATTATTTCAGAAAAATAATTAGCAGTCCTGTTGGTTTACAAATGCATGTATTGCTTAAATTAGATTGCCCTGAGCTAGACCACAAAACTGTCTTGGAGCAGAGGTTTCACGGGCAGAACATGTCCAGTTCATTTGCTTTTAGAGGTCAAGACTTGGAGCCAGGGGTCAGTACACGCTGCAGCTCCCTGCTACATCAAAATGTACTGAGAAAAGCACATAATCCCAGGGAAAAATCAGAACAGGCTTTGGGGAACAGACAATGACTCACGCTGCCAGGAACTCCCTTGTGTCAGAGCAGACTGTTTCTGTTTTCTGTTGCCCTGGCATGGACTCTGCCCTGGCCCTGGGCACCCCCACCACTGACCGCAGAGCGATGCTGGCACAGCTCCAGCCCGCCCTGTGCACCAGCAGACCCACAAAAGGGCTCAGAATGTGGGTGCTTGTAGGCAAGAAGGTGAAATGTAAATGAAAATAGTTCTTAACTGAGCAGGATAGTTTGGTTCGGCAGAGAGAGAGTCATATTTACAGACGGAAAAAGACAGAGGAAAATATTATCTAATAATACAATTAAGCAGCCACTGATGGACACAGCTTTTCGTAGCAGTTAGCTGTGGTCACCAGGTGTAGGAAGCATCTTGTATCTTTTTGTGGGTGACTATTCACAATATGAGATCAGAGTTTCTGGCCCTTCAGGGACTGGACTATCACTATAGGGAGCACCAGGCAAAGTGGATTGGTACAGTGAGCAAGCAGGTCTGTGTAAATTCCTGAACACAAGGATGCTACTGAAAAAAATATGGTGATACCTTTAAGTTGTATATAAACCAAATAACTCCATGTAGCATAGCCTCTCCAAATGAAAAACATGAGGGCTGTGAAAAGAAAAATCAGTGAGCAGGACTGAAAATACAGAGTGGGCACCAGAGCCTGAGCACCAGGCCCGGGACCCCCTTTCTTAGCTGTGAAAAATTTTACTTGCTTATGTGTGACATAAATAGCCACATAAATACGTGAATAGATAATGTTCTCTCCTAGTAAAAACATGGTATGTGCTACATAAGTCCCACTCACATCCTCTTGTCTCAAACCAAGCCCCATGCAACTTTAGCCCTGTAAACCAGGCAGGCAGGAGACAAAAGAAGAGCAAGTGATGGGAGCAATTCTGCTCCTCCAAATCAAGCCACCAGCATGAACAGTAGGGAGGATAAAGTCATGCTAATTCCCAGTGCTAAGAGGTGTTTCAGGAAACCTGTCATTGAAAGGCGCACTGTAATTTTTCACACAGGTACCTGTGGAAACATGTGCTGCTAAAAATGCTATGTGGCAGAAGAAATATTGAAATATTGTATGCATCCCTAATACTAGTCACTAAGTTAGAAAATGTTGTCAATTTTCACTCATTTTGGGAAAATTTTTTTATCATTTGAAGTGGCCACGTGATATTTCATGCTCTGGGGCTTCTTTTGTGGCATGTGAACTTCTAATGACCTAAAAAAATATCTTCCACTATAGCTTAGATGAGGACTTTCCACAACACCATATCCCCTTCAGCTGTTTCTCCTCGTGACATTTTGGCTGCTAAGTTCTTGGCTGGCCTGGTTTTAATGCTGTTGGTTTGTCTGAGGTGAAATAGAAAGCTCTGGCCAATAGGAGAGCCCCATAATTCACTTTCGCTTTCATAATTTTTTTCCTACTATGCAGGTTACCACTTACTGTGCTGAAATTCCAGAGGTTATGGGGCTGAGGGAGATGCTGTTGACTTCTGGCCCTCATGAGCATGTCCCCCTCCTGTTGGATGGGTAGAGGGGCTGACTCTTGAAGAACGAGAAAAACTGCATCACACATATGTGGTCACGGGTGTCATATACAAACACCCTTCCCTTCGTCACAACTGCATATCACAGATAAAATTAAAGCCCAACAGCTGATGTGAGGCTACAACGAATGCAAAATACAATGAAATAAAAGAAAAAGCAGCAACATTTGGAGGAGATTATTAGAAATGTCTCCTGGATGTGTAAACAAAGCGGTCTCTTAACAGTGCAATCTGTGTGCAGTGCTACACATCATTCAGCAGAGCCAAGCATGCTGGTTTGTTTTGGCAGGCTACAGCAAGTGAAGAAGAAAGGCTTTCTGAAAGCCACTTACCATCCTCTGGGAGGAAAAGGTACTCCCTCCCTCACGCCTGCTCTGAGACAGGAGTTTCCAAACTCTCCTTCCCACTGAAACTCTTGACGGCACTTTCTGTGGTGCAGATGGTTCCCAGCCCCCTGGCTGGGTAAGGTATTTCCACTGGGAGGGTGTGAAATCCCACTCCTAGAAGGCAGTCGTGTGCCACGGGTGCAAGCGGTGGAGGGCTATGTTAAGGAGCAACAGTTCATGATCTGCTATCTGATACTCTGAGCTTGACGTGGAGGTCCTCTTAGCACACGTTCACAAAAGGGGAGTTGTCCAAGGCAGGAAGGAGTTCAGCCAGAATCAGGTTTCAGAAAAATCTGAGCAGCAAGATCCTCACCCAGTTGAAGCCAACAGGAATGTACCGGCTGACTTTCCTGGGTCCAAGAATTTGACTACAGTTTGTTCAAATGAACAGTAAAAATAACCTCAATTAAAAATGATTTAAAAAGACTTCAGGAGAGGGCGCTTGGAAAATTACGCTGGACAAGATTTCTTTTGCTAACCGTGAGCTATAACGATTGCACTGCTGTTGAAGGTTGTTACTTCCAATGGCTGCAAAAGTCAGTAAATCAGGGTAGAACTACAAGCTAAAGCTGCAGTCATTTCTCTCTCTCTCTCTGACAGAGTTATTCTGGAGTAATACTGACACGAAAGACAGCATAATTTGGCCCAGGATAGTGAGTTGTTCATACAGCTCGGCACTGCCAACCCATTCTCCTGTTACTGTCAAATTCAAAACAACAATTGATTATTAATACAGAGCTTATTAAAAGTAACACTATGTTCAGGAACACATGGGGTGTGCAAGGTGAGCTGTGAAAGCAGACACTCTCCATGCAACAGGGAGTGCATGGTAAGGCTCCCTGGGGACAGTGGACAGTGTAACTGCAAATTCTTCCCTACAAGTGCCTCTGGTGTTTTCTAGAAGGCTTCCTAAGAAGCCAGCAACCAGATCAAATGATCCTGTGCATTTACCTACTTGCATCACAAGCACAAGAGCACACACAAGGTGTTAAGCACTGCACAAACCGCCCTTTCCAACCTTTCACAAATTTTTCTTTTTAAGGGACACAGGTAAGATCTCTATTTTCCCTCATGGGAAAGCATTTCCCCAGCACACTAATCTTAATTTTTTACAAAATGGATGGGAAGAGCACTTTGTAATCCTACCCTGTATGTTTAGCAGTAAAAGAATTCACTGACACATTTCTTTTCAACTCATGTAACAGCACATTTAAGGGCTATTGTAACTTCTGAATTCCTGCGTTTAATGTTTTGGTTTACATTACTCCGAGTTTCTAAACTTCAGGAAATATTTTTTATTTCAAATGATACTACTACAGAAAAAAATGAAAAGAGTCCCTGTAAAAACTATAAAACTAGAGTCCCTATAAGAACTACACTATCACTTAATGTAATTACATGATACAGTATCATAAAAAAACTCTGAACACCTTTTTTCAAACACAGAACTAAAAGACCTGACTATATTGTCTTGCACTCCATGGCCCACCACTTAAAAATGATTGACAAGAATCTCTGGAACTCCAGGAATTCCCAAAGATTCAAGATTATGAGCAATTAACACTTATCCTAAAATTTAATTAGCAAATGACTAGCAAACCTTCAACACCTCTGATTCCAGACCTCCAGTTTCATGATTCATTGCTTCCAATTACTAAATGTCACAGCTACTTTATACACAACCAGCCTTGCACACACTCCTGTGCCTTGAGTTTTCCAGTAACCCTCGGATTATTTTGCTGAGGCTACCAATAAAGCAAATTTGAAATGATAAATTCACTGTTCTGCTTTCCATTTTTGTGCTGGCAATCAGTCTAGATATAGATCTTCCTGACCTTGCGTTACTATCTTATTTGGAAACATGTATTCTTTTCATCTAAGCTTTTTTTTTTAAAACACCAAACAACTTCCTGAAATGTACTGCTTTATCACTGTTAACACACTCTGGAAATGCTAGTACATTCAAAATAAGAACCTGTAAAGTAATTGATATTGAGGATATTGTGTAAAATCATCTCATACATCCCAATTAGGCAGTGGATCATCACAAAGTGCATTCCTATTGAGATCACTCATGAAAAATCAAAGCTTCATCTATGTCTGTGCTAAACAATAAATGCAGAACTCAAGTAACCCAGCAAAACATAAAGGGAAATTCAGTATTGTATCAGTTCAGTCACAGGAGGGACAAAGAACAGATACTTTGCTAGAGTTCAGTGATACAGGGATCTCCTGTGTACTGCATTTTGCAGTGCAGCACCTTCAGGGTAACACTCTCGTCCCAGATTTCCTTGGAAGGTTACTAACCCTGTCTCTCCAGCATTTCCTCGTGCTGGAGGCTGCTGGTTAAGGTATGGGTGCTTAAATGCTCCTGAACCAGACTTCAAACAGCAGGATGGTTTGAGCAGTGACCTCAGTGACCACTGCAGCTGGCCCTGCCTATGGCTGAGTGACCACGTCCACAGCACAACTCATCTGTTAATTAGGGTTTCTTACTTTCAATCTGACAATTTTGGAAAACTGCCAGATTCCAAACCATCTCATGCAGAGATAAACAGCCCATTCCCCTTCGCACTGAGGGGTGGTGTGGAGAGGTGAGAGATCCTTTCTCCTCTGGATCCAACCTCTGCAGGCTGCAAAAACTCTCACGTGCAAGGGAGCTGAAGGCAGCAGGGTGCATTCTTTAGATACTGCTTCTACCAGGAAGGGCCCAAAAACTGAATATGGAAGAGGGAAAATGCATGGAAACAAGACCCTGACTTTGTAAGAACTAAGAAATGCGAGAAAGTGGACATTGAGGCCAATCCTAAAGTTACAAAAACGGGACATGTGGTGACATCACAAATTCCATTAGTTTCCCTGTTATATTGGACCTCATTTTTTCCAAGCTAAAACACATACATGAGCTTCAGCACTGTTCCTACTAAGTCAGTACTGGAATCCAAGATTTAACTAACTTTTACTGCTGGGACAGATGAAGAACTTCACCACACCAGTTTACCAGCAAAGCACCTAAGTCTGAATATTTATCTAGCATTTTCAAGAAAACGGTCAAGAAAACAATTTTAAAATAAAAGAAATATAAAATTAGCGAATAATATACAGAGGGAAAATGCCTCAGCACTCCAAGTTACTTTACTTTGAAGTTTCATTACTTAAAGTTGCTTTACAGATGAGAAATTCTGAAATATGCTCTTCCATTTCTCCTTTTTGGATGGTGAAATTGAGTCAATCATTTTCTTAGACTAAATGCCATTTCTCAAAAATTGTCCTGATTGTACAGAGGGGAAAAAAGTTCAGGAAAACATGACTAAAACCAACACTGAATGTACAGAGTTGATCTTATTTTTGTAGGGGGTTGCATCTTCCTTCTAAAAATGCATAAAAACATTATTAAAACACAGAGATCTCCACTAATGATTAATTTCTTACTCGAGTTTCGCATTCAGTTAATCAACAGTTGCTAGAGTTGAAAACTGTAGAGAGTTTCTAAAGAAATCAAAGATATAAGACGTTGCCTCAGTATGAAGTACCACATCTGATGTTACCTCACAGCAAGATCATGCAACTTCATTTATATCAGGAACGGTTAAATAATACAGTACCCAAATCTAATATTGACATGACTTCCTGACACATAAAATAGTTGAGATACAGGCAAGAGACTCAGACTGGTATCTGCATGCTTTAGAAAATGGGATTCAAAAGAAAGAGATTGACAAACTGTCAACCAGCAAAAAAACCACTGCTTTTCTCTGATTATAATTGTGTTTTAAATTTTGGTGCAGAGTTCAAGCAAGAGCCATGATCTCACCAATGTTAGTTTTAAAAATGCATATTACTGCTGTCTTTTCTCATTTTTTATTCTTTTCTGTTGTGAATTATACAACTGTGATTAGAAACCCTAGACAGCAAACGTGCTTTTTCAGACTGTAAAAAAAAAAAGATGGGCCAAGAGAATCAAAGAGTCCACGAATTGCCACCGATTTGCAAAGACTCGTGATCAGACCACTGGCCCATAAACTCTGAGCTCAGTCAGTGGAATATGTCCTTTCTCCATCCTATGTTTTGTGGAGGAAAAGCATTCCTTGGACATTCTAGTTACAGCTTATGAGTGAAATGGGAATTTGCTGTTGACCTGAGTGAAGTCAGAATTTAACCCTGCAACTTTAAATGTAAAGAATTTTCTAGTGTGCAATTTCAGTTGGGGTGAAGGCTCTTCCTAACAGTGTCTCTGCCATCCTACAAGTTTCTCAGTATTTCCTGCATAAAGATCTGTCTTCTGAGATTTTTCTGAGTAGCTGCTGCCACTCTGCTGCAGTAACTTAATCCACACCGAGACTAAATCATCTAGTACAATGATAATATTAACTGTAAAGGGAGCAAATTTATCAGTCCTAGGTCTCACAGAGAAACACAGATGATGATCATTTAAGCTCCAGTTCACTGAATAACTTAAACACATGCTCAACTGGAAAATATGTACCAGTCACCCCTTTGACTTACAGAGATATTTTGCTATGTAAGATAAACCAGAGCTTTGCTGCCTCCCCACCAGATAACTGAGCCTCCATACAGCTGTGTGGTGATTAATTTTACAAAGGGCTAATAAGTGATTGTTAGCTGTTTTAATAAATGCCTAATCAATTGGCAATTATATGTTACTGTGGACTGCAAAGCATAAGAGGCCTGACAAAAAGCGTCTGTAATGCTCCCATAAAATGGACTAATAAATTTGGGTGGTTTTATCCATTCCTAAGGCTCACCTGCACTGAAGAAAACATTCTTTCCAGCCTAAGGCCCTTCTATATCCAGTATTTAATCATGCAAGATGTCACAGACACGACTCACCCCCTAGATTGATGGCAAGTCCCTCATGTGAACAGAGATGGGATTTGCAGCACAGAAGTCCATCTGGTTTAGGGCATTTCTAAACCTTGGAGCACTTGAAGAGCATAAGATGCAGAGAACCAAAACTACACAGAGTGGGCTGTTACCAAATATTTTGCAACTACAGAAAACTGTCAGGAGAAACACCAACACATTCGCAATTTTGAAATCTGTTCAAACAATTTTTCTGAAAAACTAGAAACCTTAAAGTTAGTGAAAACAACAATCCTTTTAAAGTTGTCACTTAAAATACGTGATGTTTTTATTTTCATTGTTTAACAAGACAAAATGAGAATAAAAGTGGGTTATCAAAAGTGGGCGCTGGCATTCACACCTTTTTATAATTGTCATACACGTAATGTATATGAGTAGCCACACATTTCTAGTGAAAGACCATGAACAAACACACGTACATATACAGAGATATAGAAACGAACTATACATACATACATGAGTGAATATACATATTTATGTGCATACAGTATACAGACCAGATACTATACAGGTACAGTAAGTGCAATATACTGTATAAGGCTACACGAACACCGAGAGAGTCTGGTGAGGTGGTGACAACCATGAGGACACAGCTGGGATGGTTTGTGACCGAATGCAGACGGTGGGGACAAACTGGCCCTTCTGTGCCACGGGTTATGCGTCAGGCACACGCAGTTCAAACAGGAACGTGGTACAGTACATTCAGTTCATATACGAAAAAAAAAAAAAAGGAGGACAAGTGGGAGCGCGTGGAGGCAACTGAAATGCATATGAGCAGACAAATAAGGTTGTTCTACCTAGGATACAGAATGGTTCATTTACAGAGAATGCCTATATATAAACCCATGCTTTCATGAATTCATGCCATTTTTATTTCTATCTTTTCCTTTAAGAATATTATAAAATTCTTGCCCTGAGTTAAACATAAATACACACAGAAAAGGGGAGGGGGAAAAAGGAAATTGCATGCTTCTGGGGTTTTTTTTTAAATAATTTTCTAACCAAGGCACAATGTCTTCAATAGTGGTTGCAAGACCATTTGAAATAAACTTAGCAATTGCTATTGTTCTGGTGCTGTGACTAAACTAATTGTTTGCACACAAAAGTCTTAGAACAAGTTTTGAAGTGAATTTACAAGTTTTAGGAGAGAATAAGTAAATTTATGAGAAATGCCTTAAAGAGAGATTCCCTGAAGAGAAAGGAATGCTACTGAATTAAATTCCTTTATAGGCAACTTATTCATATTTGGACTGAAATTATTTCACATAAATGGCATTATATATTTTTTTAGTATTACTGCAACTTGTTACCTATTTTTAGTAGAATCATATACAACACTGTAAGATTCGCTAAAAATGAGATTAGGAAGTTCCAAATAATTTCTAGTTTCTTGTAGTAGGCAGGACAGGACAGGACAGGACAGGACAGTGGTCACACTGATTCACTAAGCTGAAGAGTCACATCTCAGGCACACTTGGCCAATGGTTATGCAAGATTTTCAAGGCATGTATCTCTCCATCTCATTGACCTGCATAAGTATGTTATCGGAAATATTAGCTACTAGTTTCTGTGTATGCCACTCTGCATGCCTGTGCTCAAGTCTGACTCTCAAAAGAAAGGTCATGCTTGTCTGTTGCCTCATATTCGAGCCCTGAGGCTCCAGAGGCACACGGTTCTCACCAACCTCCAGGGGCTCCAGAGGGTATGTCACCTTCCAGGGAATAACCACCTGCATCGTGCTGCTTTGGCTGCAGCACCTGTCCCCATAAATCTCTCTGTTGCTCAAAGTGTTGAAACACACCATCTCAACTCTACCAAAAACAGGAGCAACACAACAACCCCCTGAAACCACAGACCACGCAGGTGAGATCTTTGCCTGTCCTGTGTCTTTTAAAGAAACTGTAACTCCCAGTCTGAGACACAACTTGATAAAAGACAGTAGTGAAAGCAGGAAGTGAAAACCTCATAAATCCTGTTTTTCACTCTTTGTCAGAATATTGTTATATTTGAAAGGTTTCAACAACTTCTGTGACGGTCTGGTGCTCAGAGACCGGTCACTCCGTTTCCATGTCTGACACCCTCGTGCTGTGGCATTATGTTTTCTACAGCTGACCTGCTTTCACCCATTACTGCTTCTCTCCAACACATCTATTTTGTGCCTGAACACCATGCTGCTGAGCTGTATGGAGTAGGACAGAGCCACCAAAGCCAAGCTTGGGCCCTGAGACCAACCACAACAGCAGCACATGCTCAGATCCAACTCTGCCTGGCATTCCCTGCACTGGGAAGCAGAGGCTGCTTTGGTGCTGTGAGGCTGCTGGGCAGGCACTTAAATCAGAGTCTTAGCAAAACAGGACCCAGCAATGCATTGACCTGCTTCTTCTGCACAACCAACCCAGCTGAATGGGAAAAGAAAAGATGCTGGGACAGCAACAGGAGACTTGTCTGCTAGCAGAGAGACAGCTTTGACACATTTGCTTCGTGAGGGATGATGGATGTGGCAATTCCATCTGCTTCGAGGTTTGCATTTTATTTTCACTCCTTTTTTTAAATTTTTTTATTTTTTTTTTTAATAAGCATTCTTTATTTGCAGTTTGCATATTTAGAAACCATTTGCACTGCTCTGGACCCATGCACTGATTATGTAAGACCAGATTCAAGCTGAAACTCAACACAATGCAATGTGGAGCCTTCCCCAAAGCATTAACATTCTTCTTGTTGCTCTCATCCAAAATGTTGACAGAATACTTAGCTGGACTGACGACAGCAGAATTTTGCTTTTGTGTGCAAGAGATTTGTCTTTGCAGGGAAAACCCCAGAGCTGTGTAAAGTAATCCAACTGCTCCCTCTCGTGGGCACGGGGCTCTGCTGCACTTTAGAAAGGCACAAAAGCGTATTTGGAAGTCTAACAGATTCTTGGCAGTGCAAATTCCTCAGAGCTGTGCAGTGTGATGCTGCAGGACACAGCTCATGCCTCATGCCCTGGCACTTCTTGCGAGGTCGTGGCAGTCAGTGTGACTCATTCCTGACTCTTATGAACATGCAGCCTAAACAAGAAAGTAAAATCCTACGGCTCTGGGTGATTCAGGTTTTCAAATACGCTCAGGCCACACACTGGTCAAATCCAGACATCATCTCAAGGTAAAAGTTGGCCCCTGTCCCATCAGTGAAGTGCCTGTGCCAGGGGCTTCTTTCTGTACCCCTTAGTGGCTGTCCATCCTCCCAGGTAGGACCCAGAGGAGTTCCCTGCTCCCAGCTATTTGCAAAACTTGCATCCACAAGAATCACTCTATGTCCACATTCCTTTTTCTTTGCCTACACAGACACCAAAGACTTCTCCACTGGAGGAGCAGGACTTCTCCATGAGAGGGCCATTTGAGAGAGACAACATTTGCAAAGTGTCCCATAAAATGTTCCTGGTTTTCCACTTTTAGACATTCAAATGCATTTCATCGTACTAGTGACAAATAATGTAATATCACTGCACAGATACAGCAGATTGCACTGCAAATAGTTTTTGCACTTTCTAATTTCACAGAAACCAAACCTTAACCAATCCCTGACACTCACACACTTACCAGTCTACTCCCACCTGCAACCGCTTTCTCATCTATTACACTGACCTTAAAAATCCTTGGGGTAAGAACAGTCTTTGTTCCACACATATTGCCTACCAACACTTTATGACTATGACTCTCAGACAGCACTGCAATCATTATTGTGGTAGATCCTTGTGGCCAACATTAAGAAGGTTTTGGATCCAGTGACTATCCCAAGCCTTATTAAATGGGATGGTTAAACATAAGGAGCAATTAAGTCCCATTAAGTGAATAGCTTCTCAGGCAAAAATAGAAGCTACCATCTCAAGTAATAAATAGTGTATAGAAAGTCCAGACCAAAACCCCATGGGGCTCTGATTACAGAGTGAGTGCTATGGGACTCTTCCCACATAGTGGACATATATTTTGAATAAAGAAGAAGATCAAGTATCAAAAAGGAGCAACCATAACCTTGGCTCCAGGAGCACAGAAACAGACATCTCAGAGGCATTGCACTGGCTTGTAGGGGAACATTTGGCATTTACACACAGGGAGAAGAAAATGATTGCCACCGTTCCATGAATTGTTTCATATGTTTTGCTATTCTATGTCCAAAACACACAACAGACTTTCAGAACTTTGGAAAATTAGAGGAGAAGAGAGGGGCAGTCATATCAGAGTGGCAATTAGCACAGTAGCTAGATATTTCCCTTGAATGCAAATTTGGGACTGCATGCCCCCTGAGATCTTTAACCAGCAGCCCATGGGGATCTTTCTTCCCTTTGGTCAAGAGAGCAAGTATGACAGAAGATGGTTCTTTCACTGCAAATCCTCGTGCATTACAAGAACTACAACAGCAGAATCACTAGAGTTTGAAGCTAGTTCCAGTCTGAGATTCATCAAGGAGTGCATCGAGCCAAGGTTTACAATACTGGGCACTGACATGGGTTCACGCTATGTAACACATACAAATTCTCTTATTAGCACACCTTATTTTTTTGTGTTGCCATTTCCCTAGTACTCAAACTTGACGGAGGAGTACTTTCCTCCACAGAGTTCTCCATCTACCTGCAATGACTGTGTTTCTTTTGTATAATGAAAGTTAAAAAAAAAGGCTCCTGTGATCAGATACGAAACAGTGAATCTTGGTTTACAGGTGCTCATTTTTCAGCAGCAGAATTCATTAACTGCAGCAGCCAGGAACCCAGCCCTGCTACAGTGCCTGACAACTGCAGGGTGTTTGCTGACTCTTTGAACTCTTGTACACTACTGCTGGGGAAAATGGCAACTTTAAGCTGAGAATAATAGAAGAGCACAGATGCTTTGTTTATGCTCACGGAGTATTCGCTTTCAGATGCACATTTGCCCACTAAAGCATGATAATGTCAATTCGTTGGAAAAGTACTTTGTCTAGGTGCCTTCAAAAATAATTACAGCCATAATGGTAACAATTTCCCCTCCTTGCATTCATTAATTACCGTGTGACCACAATGCTTACAAGGCATACAAAGACTACAATATGCTTTATATACACAACTAAGGCTGGAGACAGTACAAGCTGGGCTTGTGATACTTAGTTGACCCAACACAGTTATTAATTAACTTAGATGTGAGACAAATACATAGCTGTGTTGCTGAAGAATGCTCAGTACTTGTCAAAATTCCATTTTAAATTATTCCTCCAAAGTTTTGTATGTTTCTTACAATAACCTTAAACTGCACTTAAACTACAATGTATTGCTCTACTGATGCATGTGGAAAGCAGCCAAATATGTATCTCAGCTTTCTCTTTGTTGTAATTCCCTTCCATCATGCTTTTGTTTTAAAATTGAACAATTAGAATGGGTGTTTGGGATTTTTCTGCTGGAGTACAAAATCAAAGAATAGTTGCCCCGAAGGCCTCACATCAGCTTTAATGCTAGAATTTTTTTCACAATGAATTGTGTGCCTTCTGATTGCATTTCAGTTGACACCAAAATACTGAGTCTTAAGCAAAATGTTATCTAAGCTGTTGTGTGGAAGAACTGGGATTTAATAAAGGAGTCTGGAGCAAGCCTCCTCCTCCCTCCCTCCCTCCCTTCCTCAGGAAGGTGCCAAAAGTGTGTAATTTCAGAGTACCTTTCAGCAGGACCAGCCACATTCATACTCTTTCTCCCAGTGCCTATGGATGGAGTGTGAAAACCTATAAATGCCTACAAACCTGCAATGGAAACTGCAGTGACTGTTATCTGTCCAGAAGCCTCTAACACACACAGAGCAGGAACGATCCCAACAAGCTTTCCAGGTTAATTAACTGAATTACCAGGTTGTCTAAGGGAACAGACAAGCAGCTCACTGAGGGTTTAGCCAGGTAATTCCCTCTGCAGGCACCTCTCTTCCTACCACCTATGGGGAAGTTGTATTATACCCCTGATTTAGACTACTCAAAAGTAGGTAGGTCACATGGGGAAAGAAAAGTGCTATCTCAGCTTTCTGAGAGCTCAGGCAGATACCAGAGAAGTAATGAACTGAGCTGCACTTCTTTTTTTTTTTTTTTAAATAAGCCATAAAAAAATTCAATGTTGATGCTGATATATTTTTTAGCTTTTTCTTCATTCCTTCAATGCACGTTGAAACTCCTTAATTCATAGCTGTCCATGTACCTTCATCCCCTCTTCTGAGTTATTCCTTCTAATCTCAGCATGGCTTCTGGATTTTACTTTGATCATCACTGTGAAGTTTAAATCTTCTTTTCTTGCTTAAATTGGAGCTAGATATCACTGCCCAGTTTTCCCCACAAGAAGACACCAGACCTTAAGAGGTATACACACCCTCAGAATTTAGATAGCATACCTCAGGAAAGGACAGTGCTGTCTGGCCACTGAAAGGCAAACAACTCACAGGCAGCATGAAGAGAGGCTGCACATTTGCAGATAAGGTAGACAGATTTGTAGAAATCCGTCTGGGAATAGGATCTGCTTTGCAGACAAGCTTAAATACCAAACTCCAGCTATCAGCAATTTTGTTTTCAAAGCATGTGTTTTCCTTCAGGTCATGGATCTTTGTTATAAGCATGCACTACTGTGCTGCTATGCAGCTTAGTACAAGGGATTTTCCAATCACTGTCTACATCTTAATGAAAATGAACCTCACTTTCTGCAAATTCATTTGCAGAAAAAAAAAATCCAGATAATTATATCACCTCTTTTTCTTCTTAAAATGGAAACAAGTTGTTTTTTTTTTTTTGCTGTGCTAAAGACTGTTTTAGAGAAGCATGGCAGTGACCTAGAGATAATTTTATGTACATTAGAACTCTGGATGTGAGATGCTCTGCTCTCCAGCAGAGGGACCTCCACAGCCCAGCTCTGCTTGAAACATTTTCTTCTTCTGTGACAGACATGCTGAGTGCACACGAATCCAGTGTGCAACAGGGATGTCTGAGCCCATCGACAGGATGCAATCCTTTGTTACCCTGAGGTGATGATGTGAAGAATGACAGGATGCCAAGAAAACTATCCCAGTGATGCCTGTGACTCCAAATCCTGCTTGCTTTACGCAGGTGAACTGTTTTGTTCACTATAGGGGTGCCCTGACAGGACTGAGCATTTACCACTGCAGGGTCAAACACCTGACCATGCCTGGTACAGAAGTCTCAGGCACCAACACAGAGGCTCCAGTAATAAAGGTGAGGATTCATTTATTGGGGTATCTGTGGACCACGTGCTTTATAAACCTCACATGTGGTTAAATTCTACTGTTCTCTACCCACTTAGATGGCTACAGAAAACTGTTACTCGGCTAAAAATGACTGTTTTCATTTCCATATAAAGGCCAAACACAGATGGACTTTCACTATCTCTAATGTTAGTCAGACATTTCTTATCTCTAAGATACAACTTGCTGTACTTTCTAGAATATTTTTCCATTCCCCGTAAGCTTTCTGTGAACACCAGAGAACCTTTATAGAATGACAGAATCACTTAGGTTATAAAATGCCTCAAGATAATGAAGTCCAACCATTAATACAACATGGTCAAGTCCACCACTAAACCACATCCCCTGCCACATCTGCACATTGTTCAATACCTGCAGGGGTAGTAGGATGGACTCAACTACTTCTCTGGGTAGCCTGTTCCATTGCTTGACAACCCTTTCTGTGAAGAAATTTTTCCTAATATAAATGCATTTTATCCTAATATGTGTGTCTAAGTGATATGGCAGTTCACTGACCATTTTTCTTTGGATTATGGGGGCTTCATTTTCCTCCCTGGCCCTGCCTTCCAGCTCAGGGGGCTGGTACCCAGAAAACAGCTGGTCTTACTATTGAACACTGAGGCAAAGAAAGCATTATGTACCTCAGCCTTTTCACCATCCTTTTTCACTGTGATTCCTTCCCCATCCACTAAAGGATGGAGATTCTTCTTTAGCCTTTTTTTTACTGCCAATGCATTTACAGGAAAATTTTTTATTGCCTTTTGTGGCAGTAGACATACTAGGTTTTCAGTCAGGTCTTGGTCCTTCTAATTCTTCCCCTGCATAACCTCGTGACACCCCTGTCCTCCTGAGTTGCCTGTCCCTTCTTCCAAACCTCATAAACTCTCCTATTTGCCAGAATTCCAGCTAAAACTCTGTTCAGACAGGCAGGTCATCTTCCCTTGCTGGTTTGACATTTGGCACATGAGGATGACCTGCTCCTGCACCTTTTAGATTTCCTTCCTTCTTTCCTTTTTTTATAAGGCAATAGGTTATTTCTAGAATGCTTCTCTGCTGCTTACACTCCTCTCTTCAGGGTATTTATATTGAGATGTACATTTAGGAAATACAGCTATATGCTACTTTTGTAGCTCAAAAGTGTTTCATGCTTCTCCCATGTTACACTTCCAAGCTTCCTACCTGACTTCCTCTGCTATTTCCTTAAATTCTTAAACTTTGTCCTTTCATAATCAATAAATTCAATTCCAAGATAAACTTATGTTCATCTTTCAGTTTAAATCGAGACAATTCAATATTTTATCCAAGGCTTCTTCCTGCAACCAGTTCTTTCCAAATGCTCTCCCCATTTCCCAGAACTAAGGACAGAATGGCAGGCTCTCTATTTGGCTCAGCATGTTGGTAACTGTTCTCTGACACTACATACAGAATGTTTAAAGCATTGTCCATCAGAGACCAGCTACATAATTCTTCTCTGATCATAAGCCCTTTTTATTTATAAGTGATCCCTCTAATGCTTACCATCAATACACCTTAAATAAGTTTTGTGAATACTGATGGTTACTCCTCACAATTCCTACACCAATAAGCAAACAAGAAATAAGAAAATAAGGCATAGGGGATTTAAAAGTCAGTAGTTACATATTTAGCCAGTATTTGATTGGAATAAAATATAGGTTTCCTTAGATCAAACCTATTTTTAGTTAATAAGCATCCTCACCACATCCTTAAATTACTGCTTTAAAAACAATGGGCTTTGAGAGCTCAGTTGCAAATCTTTTTTCCCCCACATTAAACATTCTGAAAACCATCAGTTTGGTATCCATGAAGATTTGAGAAAACCAATTAACAGTCATCTGCCCTTTCCCAGATCTTGTATCCCTGTATGAATGTCAGCTGTGCCCATCTGATCGACAAAGAGGTGGATAACACAGTGCATCCTTTTGATCTTTTGGAAAGTCTAACTGCTCGTTACAATGTGGTTAAGCAACCCAGTATCAATACAATCAATAGCCACAGCACACGAAAATAGATACCCTGTATGCCACAATCTGTCAGACTGAGGATGGGCTAAAAACCCAGCCGTTTGAAACACATTTCACCCGCCACAGATTATTTGCTCATTAAGATAGAATAGGTGTTGAAAGAGCACAATCAAAGTAATGTTTTTATCTGCCATGGACATGATCAGACTTCTGCCACTCCACTGGAATCAAGGTTAAATCCACACCTTTAAAAATTATGTTATCATAACAAAGGGCAACATAATAGATGGACTGTAAGATATTGTCAGCTTGAAGGGAAGACTTAAGGAGAGAAAGCTTGCACTAGTTTTTCTTGCTTTTCATGAAGTCTTGACCATACCATACATTATTCAATTAACAAGATCACCCTCCTACAGTCACTTGACAATTCCTCTTATCATCTTTGTTCCTTTCTTCTGTATGAATTGAGGTGGATTTTCCCTCCACAGTTTCAGTGAACTCTGGCTGCAGCTTCTAAGAGCCTCATTATCTCTTCTATCACATCAGCTTCTGCTTTAAAGGCTTATTGTTTAGTTCTTAGTATAAATGGAGAGACTGAAATCCCTTCAAAACACCCAAAGTGCCTTTGCCACTGAGTAAACAGCAAAGAATCATCTGTGCTGTAAGACCCATTTAATCAAAAATATATACTACATGAACACTGGGATCCTCAAAACCTTTGGAAGTGCAATTACCCTAATTTCTTCCTTAGATGAAGGAACACTTGATGTGTTATTTAAATGGGCTGTCACTTTGAATCTCCATTATGGATGTGATTTGCTTATGTAAAATATGCTTTAGAAATGTGCATGGTTCTGTCAGGCTCTGTGTCCAGCCGGGCTCAGAAGAAACACAATAGCATCAGTTCATACAGGTTACAGAATGGTAACCTGTATGGACCAGGCTGGCCAAATATAACCTTCCTAACAAGTAGCTGGTTGTCTGGAGTCAATAAATCAGCCTTACTCTTCTGGTCTTTACTTTGGTCAAGACCTTACAGAAGCAACTTGCCTAGCTAGAGACAATGCAAACATGTGATTATTGCAAAGCAGTCCTCAGGGAGTTTCTCCACTCAAACCTCACTGATGTTCAACAGGATTTTGGGGACTAATTCCCTGAAAATTCACCATCTAAGTAAGAGTGCCTGGGTGTGTGTGCATACATATATGCATGGGCACATAAACACATATATGTTGGTGTGTCCTTGTGCACACATAGAGCCCCCCACGCACGCAGTGATGTGCGGGCCCGCACACACGAGTGACATGAAACCAGAGTGCTTCGACAGAAGGCATTCACATGATGTTCAAGCCAAACCTCTTCTCTCAGTTGCCACTCTCACTTAGTTCTGTCAAACTAATAATACAGGTCTGTGCAACAAAATGTTATGGTATCAGTATTAGCATATGAAATAAAGGTAAGTATAGGTTTCCCATGTCTTTATTTCTTTTCCATTTTCTCTCTACTGGAGAAACTTGCCAAACCCAAACACTTCCATTTCCTTCTATGTGGCAGTTTTGTTTCTGATGAGGAAAAAAAAAAGTATCTCTGTTTAAGATAAAATGAGGTGTTGTCCCTTTGATTAGTTTTTCTGATTCCTAATATACAATAAATATAACTACAGTGGACTATTTAATAGTCCTTGTAAGCATTACATGGTCTATAGCTGAAGAGAGTCTAGCTGCCTTAACTAAAAGAAAAATCACTTGCTGTAAGAGCAGTTTTCAGGACAGTGATAAATCACAGTGTCATACAATCATGCATTAAGCTCCAACCAAACGTGAGACTGGCACAAATATTAAAGTATAACTGAGCAGAAGTCAAGTATGTACAAGTCTTTGACAAACATTGGTGTAAGTGCTCTAGACAAGACATTTAAAAGAAATTTACATAAAAACATAGATTAAATTTATCAAAGTTTGATAAATTTTAAGACAGTAAAAAAGTACAGAAAACATGAAAAAATAAAAAGCCCAGCCAGTTCATACAGTACAGTTTTACTACATTTATATTACAGAATGAAGACAGAAAAAGATACAAGGAATTAAGAGCAAAGAAAATTCTGCTGGCTGCGGCCAGTGGAATTTCATTGCCAATGGGAGATGCGCACACACAGATGCACGCACACGTACGCACGGAAAATAAAGACAAAGACCCAAAAAAACCATTTACTGTAACAAATGACAGACACAGAGGTGAGAAACACTTGGCATGTTGCAGCACATGGAGTCATTCACGATTGGCTAACGATGGTACCTGGCTCGGCTGAAGGTCACTGGGCTGCCTGAGCGGTGTCACGGAGGGAGGAGGCACACCTGACGTGGATGCAGACCGACCTAATCTGCAGCTTGCTTTAGACTCTGGAAAGGAAGAGAGTAGAAACACCAGTGAACAGGAGGTGGGTTACAGCTGCAGTAAACTGAAACACGCTGGACCCAGGATTTCCCTTGAAACGGAGACTCCAGGCTCGGTTACTGGTTAAAGTCTCAGGCATTTGGCTGAGTCATAAACAGAAGCTGAGATCAGAAGGAGAGGGATTAAGACAGAACCCATTCCATGTCCTGGCATCTCTGCTCCAGCACCTCTGAAGATGAAGCACAGAGCCCAAACCAGCAGATAGACAGGAAGAATATAAAAGAAACATTCTTGTTGCCCCACCCCCTACTCCCCAGTGCCTTTTCTACTCCTCTTGTAATACAGCAGTGATTAAGGGAGTTACAGCAACTTCTGGTTTCATCTCTCCATCCCAGGGCTGAGGGACAGGGCAGCCCAAAGACTGATTGTGCTGAGGGAAAGCATAAAATGCCAGAAAATAAAGGAGGCAGTGTATGAAGTGCTGAGGATACTGTCCCACTTGGGGATTTGGAATGACACCAAAAACACTTGGAACTCTGATGTCAGTGGCAGTAAATTGAGAGACGTAATGTAGGAAGAACAGAGACAAACTAAAACACCAGCAGTGGCAAAGTCAGCTGCCCAGAATGAAGGTGATAACGGAAGTAGAGGTTACCTTGAGAGAAAACTCCATTTCAGAGAAGAACTGCACAGAAATTACACAGTTATTTCATTTTCCTTCTGCTGTTTTACATGAAGGCGTTTCTAAGAAGGTTCCCCATTGATTTCCAGTGCAGGTTATTTTGTACATGCTGACACGAGGTGACCATGCAGCTCAGGAGGCCTGGATGAAGGCTTTTATATCTAAAACATGCTGACACCCACGTGCTACCCCAGCATTCAACACTCCACATCTGGTCTAGAGGAAGCTGCTTTTCCCTGAGAAAAAGGTCTGCCTGTTTCTGCCCAAGAAATTTTTTTTGTCCCTACCTTTCCTTTATATGGCTGAGGAAACACCTCTCAACCCACTTCTTGGCTTGGATCATTGTGTTAATTCTCCTCATGTTTCATAAGCCCTCCTTCCAACCCTGCACCTGTTTTTTCTATTTAGTGGGCAAACACTGAGACCAAGAACATTTGCACTCTCCAGACACACTTTGTACAACAAAAGGCTCTCACTTTTAGCATTGATAGTATTGCTTTACCATGAATAACAAGTAATTATAATACCACGCCTCATTACAATTTAAAGAATTTTTAATTTTTTAAGTAAAGTTTAAAGAATTCCTCCTATTCAATTTCATGTTTTCAAGAACAGAGTAGGGACCTATGCCTTGTGCAATCCTGGTTTAGCAAATTTGTCTCTGAAGCACGTATTTTCTCACATGTCTTTTTCTTATGTGTTCCTGAAATTTATTTTCTCCTGCCTCATTTACACTGCTGCCTTGTCTATGTTTGTTTACACTAATTTCTCTATTTCCTACGTGGATCTCCAGTATCAGTAGCCACTGGATGGGCCGTGGTTTGAAAGGAAGAAGACATCTATCACCAGCACACCCTTAAGGTCACTTGGCACACCTTGGAAGCTTGAGGACAGCTGGCACATTACTCCACATACCAACAACATGCTGAAAGGGGTTCTTCCAATCTCACCGATAATTTCTCGTTGTCACCTTAAATGCTTATTTTCCTCAGACATTTCAGAATTCAATACGGTGTGGAGAAGAGCTATCCACTTATGCCAGAGCACTTAGACCAATGAAAACATCTGTATGGGTGAATATTCATCAACTAAATATTAATAGGTTGGTTAACATCCAGCTGGCTGAGCAGCAAAAATATTTATGCTGTTCGACGAATGCATTATTCAATTCACTCACTCCTAGTCAGTCTGTAAACATCCCACGAGTCAACACAGCAATAGGCACAGAAAGGAGCAGACTGGTCTCGTCTGTAACCTTGCCTTTTGTACATAATCTGCTGGTTTGCTTTTTTTGGACTTGGGCAGTTACTCTGAAGGTTGATTAGATTTGTTTTTGTTCTGATTTCACACTGTCCGTGTGCCAGGTTTCTGACTGTTCTTTTCAGTAATATAGATTAAAAAAAATGGATCTCATTATTATATCTCATCTCTCATCTCCTGGAATTTTGCTGGGGTTTCAGAGAGGACAAGAATTGGGTCTTTTTTCAGTTGTTTTTCTGTACTGCTAAATAGAGATTCTGTTTCTGCTGTGACAAGCAGAATCAGACACCCAGCACATAAAAAACTCCAAGGCACTGTCTGCCTATGCTTCTGAATTATTTTCTTTGCTTTAGGAAAGCAGGGAGAAGTGTCATAATTTCCAATTTGGATCTATGTGCAACAACAAGAGATTACCATTTTCTTGCCAAAGAGACTCCTTTCATCTGGCATCAAAGAAATAAAACCTATCACACATGGATGAAGTATAACTTCCTTTATCTCCCTGTAATATATGTTATAGTATTAAGGAAGCTATTGTGATTTCCATGGTGAGTCTCACCAAAAGGTGTTTCAGAGGTGGCTTCATCTAGCTTTTTTTTTTTAAAGTTCAGAAGTTGGGTACTGGGAGGAATTTTTTTTAATATCCACTGGTCTCAGTGGCAATATTTTGAGACCAAATAAATACTATATTCTACTGTAGTTAGTGGTCTGAGTAACATCTTCACACTGCACACTACTGTGAGGGAAAAAACCCTCATACATAAATGGTCTGTTGCATAAGTGATGCCCAACTCACTGCTCTGTATTCTGCAGCTTATTATTTTTCAGCTATGCACAGCCATTTACTGTATTGGGGCTATCTGGGTTTTGATCACTTCTAAGTAATGGTCACCTCAAATAAATACTTCTGCTTTAGGCTATCTAAAAACTAGTAAGAATTCTCCCTGCATAGATAAGTCCACCATCCCATCATGACCTGTATCTTTATTTCTTGGGTTCTCATGTTTTCAATGGTCATTTCAGTTTGTCTGCAAGGCCTGAATATTGACACCAATTCTGAGTCTGGAACGAAAATAGGTTTTCCTATTTACTGCTAAGAATCTTAAAAGCAAACAACTACTGCCAGCAAATCTCAGGATGCTTTCTAGTGTTTAATTCATGTTTATCTCTTGTGCATGATATTGAGACAGCTCAGTATCAACATCTTAAATGAGTAGTCTTGAGAAGTCCTCTTTGTGACAGTAATTCAGGTGTGAAGCTGAGTTCCATCAGCAATCCTGATAAGCACTTAGGGAAAGCTCTGTAAATATCTGTCCCAAATGTCCAGTGCAGACAAGAGCTGACAGCCCAGTGCCAAGCCAGGGAACTCACAGGAATGTGTCTAAGAGCTTCTGGGGAGGGGGGCCACGGAATGCAGGGCATGTGAGCATCCATTAGAGATGCCCCTTGCAATCAATGGGCAGCATGAAGTTTGATCTTGGCAGATTGTTGGGGGCAGCCAGAAAGCTGCAAAACGTTACATGATGCACGAAAATGCTCATCAAAAGCAGCTGCCATATTTAACCGATGGCTGGGACCACGGGAACCTCACCTGAGGCAAACCCACACACACAGTCAGGGCAGGCAGTGTGACGAGCTTTACTGCACTCTCAGGTTTAAACTGAGTCCCAACAACACCAGCTAGGATTACACATGGACAGACCCAAAGGGCAGCATTAAGGATGAGAATTTTAGGAGAGACTGTCCAACACAGAAATACAGGCTTTCCAATCACAGATAGGATTGCCTTAAAGTTGTGTACTTAATCATGTATTTAAGCACTCACATAAATGGCCTGTTTTCCAAAAGTGCAAGTGCTGTCATCATTACAAAAGATGCAGAGGCTTGCCTGGCTGCATTTAGGACAGGGGGAGTTGTAGGATTTTCCTCAACAAAGCACAGTGCTGAAATGCGACAAGATTTATGGAAATATTTTCAATAATTTTAATACCAATGTGCTATGGTTTTCTATATTCTCCAGAAGTACAACAACTCTGCATGATTTTTATTTTTGGATCTTAATGGGAAGAGTTCTTTTTCATCCAAGGAAGCCTTCATTCTGCCTACCCTAATCTTAATTCAAAAAAAATACTCTGGCTGTCACTTACATTGGAGAAGCTTCTTATCCTGTCACAGTCTCTTCTTTGCACATGAAAAGAGAAATATTGCTTATTTGCTACAGCTGCCAAGAAACGCGTTTTGAATTAAACAAGGCGATGTGACAGGCTGAGAGCAATCACATGCTTAGAGAAAAGAAGAAAAAGAAAACATGCACACTGGAAAAATGAATCACAGTATTATCTCCACACTGGCCTAGCTATGTTGATCTTCTAAAAAGAGATGAGTAAGCTGAAACATTACTTGAAATTATGAAACATTAAGGTGGAATAAACTACACAGTATCCTGTTACTTTTTTTAAAAAAAAAAAAGTATTTAGGACTTCACCTGGAGAAGCCAATTAGAGCTGAAATAGCACAGGAGCACGTCAAACTGAAATGTTTTCACAAAGGGAGCACTGAACCTGTGGAACTCAGTGTTACCAGATATATCCATAGGTCAAAACCTTAGCAAGTCTCAAAACCAAGTCAGGTAATGAGTAAAAACCATGCCTGAAAGGAACCTTCTATATAGGTTTTGGGGATACTTTGCCCAGAGGGAAAAGCTATTAGGGGGATACATTTTGTGTCCTGAGCATGAGTGTTTATTTTCTTTGAAAAGCTTTTGTTGTAGGATTTGGCTGTGTTTGTTTGCTATTTCCTGGCTGCTTTGTAGCATAAGTAAGCGTTGGGTATTTTTGTATTTTTGTTCAGGGTTTTTTTATGTGTGTTTTCGTCACATCTAGACAATACTTTTAATTCAGTCAGGATCCAGGTGATCCCAGGCTGCCCAGTAACATACACCTCCAGCATTAAGTTGCTTTCTTTCACTTGGAGAATCCTTGTGGATTTAGGAGCACAGTGATACTCTGATACTGCAGGTGAGGAGAAAATTTAGGGTTTGGTGGGGGTACTCACCTTTGCATGAAGCAGTCCTAGCTGGCATGAGCTGGTGTTTTGCTGCTCCTCCCTTCCTGCACCAATGGATGCAACTTTGCACCTTGGGCTTCCCAGGCATTGCTCCACTCCCAAAGAGCTGAACTTAAATACTCACTACTTTTGCAAATCCCAATGAAAGGTGGGCATTTACACCCTTCCTGATTATCTGCAGTGTCTTCAGGTGAAATACTAATGGCTGGCTGAGTGACAAGCTGGTGGTGCTTCAAAAACAGGACACAACAGAGTATCTGAGGTTTAAAAGGCAAGGCAGTGCCTGTCTCCAGCACCAGGTGGCAATGTAAAATGCTTCATGGTTGCAGTCAGGAAAAAAGCAGCAACGTTCCAGAAAATACTCTTCAATTCTCCTGGAGTGAAGCTGTACAACTTTCTGTTTTACAGCCATTTGGCCGTTCACTACAATTTCACTGACTTTCCTAAATGTCAGAATGCCCCCAAATCACATTGCTTTCCATGAGAAATGATAGGATTCCAAGAAACAGAAAGTGGCCTTGACAAATGATGTCACAGAACAATCAGGCATTAGAGACAGTGATATCTGTGTGCAGCTGACAGTCCAGGCTCTTTGAGCAAAATGGACAGAAAGTTCAACATTCTGTTTGGAGAGGGCTCATTCTCCCTCTGATCTCACTAGCAGTTTCAGGGATGGAGAGAACCTACCAAAAATCAGTAGTGCTACTCAGTATTTGTTCAGGCCCCCCCAGTTCCCAGTTCATCTGTGCCTCAGCAGAGCTGCCTGATGAGCACATTTGAGAAGTCCTTTCACACTTTCTGTTTTACAGTGGAGCAATTCAACCCCATTTTCTTTAATTTATTCCAACACTGCCCTAATAAATGCCTGTACCAGTGTGAACTAGGAGGCAGGCAGCAAACTGTGGTATTTCAAGGATATGTCTGCACAAAAAAAAAAAAAAACAGCCTTTTTTTCCTGTTATCTATGATGCTGGAAAGAGAGCAACAGCAGTGATGACTGTACTGGGGACTGCCTTGATTTTTTACGGTCCTGTGGTAAATCTAAGCTCCAATTCCTAGCACAGAATTACTTTATCTCCTTGACTCCAAAAGCATTTGTATTCATACAGACGTAGTAAATCTCTCTTCTTGCATTCTGCTACAGTTCTAATTTAATTGCAGAGAATGAACTGTTACAGCTCATGTACAAGTTCACTAAGGAGAACTGTGTTCACTTTGAATGCAATGCCCCACCGATTAAAGGTAAAACATGTTGCTCAGGCAACTGCAAGAGGCACAGGGGAAAAAATATTCAGGGCAGATGAGAGGCAATATTCATCAAATGAAATAGCATAAAACTGCAGGGAAAGAAAAGTCATAATCAGCTCTCAGATTTTAATCATAAAAAGGAGTCAAAATTCAGCCAAGAAAATGTATCTTTTTCTCTGACAGTCCTAGCAATGTAAGACAAAGTCACAGTTAACTAAATCAAGGCATGATTCAACAACTATTACAGTTTGCTGATGCCAAATGAAGACTGAGGCCAACATGTTTTGTCTGCTTCTGGAGATCAACCAACTCTTTGAAATAAAACTGCTGCAGAAAGGTTGGACAGCAGTGTTATATTTTGCTAAGAACTTACTCTTTAATTTTAACTTCTTTACTACTCTGCTCCACGCTGTCATCTTGTAGAACTGAGAAGGTTGGTACACACCTTTGGTCTAATTATCGGATGTCCCAATACTTTGATGTGGTAGCTTTTAAATCCACCCTTTTTACCTGCATTAGCACAGACTCTCTAATACACTGGGAACAGAATTTTTATCCAAAGCTATGAGTTAATCTGGAAAATTCCTACCTCCCAGAAGTCTTTTTGAGAACAGACAAGTAAGAAAATGGCAGTAATACTCTAATAACCTGTGCTAGACTCATAAGATTTGCAGAAAAGTCACATTTGCTGCCCCAGGAAGGACTACCTCGGGTGTCTGCAGCAAGAAAAGCTGGACTATGTGATTGCTGCAAATGATATGTCACATCAGCAATGACTATTCAAGTTATACACTGAGTTTCAGGTGTCATTTTCAACGATTCAGAGACAATGTGTGAGTCCCATTATCACACAAGGAGGTGATGCTCTGGGTGAGGCGTGAGCATCTCTGCTGGCTCAGCAGTTTAAAGACTCAGCTCTGCCACTCACTGCCCAGCAGACCCCCCTTGCAGGAACGATTTCTTGTTTTAGCAGCTCATTCGTGCTCTTATGCTTACTGAACACTGACCATGAGGCTTCAGTACTATATATGCCAACTGTTTCTAAAGTGGATATTTTTCACAATCCAACTAATAAGCAGTGAGGTTACTCTTTTATGAGAGCTGTCAAATCTCAAAAGTGACACTGCAGTATTCATGCAAGAGGTGTAGATATCTGTTTAGAGATGTCCATTCATGTATCAGTTCTGTTTGTCTTCATCAATTTATAAACAAGGCTGCATTATAATGCCATGGCTTATGGTAATTTACTATTTAATATATATATAAAATTTTGATTAAGAAAGCAGACAAGGGTGAATCTGAAACTTCTGAAACCCATAGTCACTCTTCTAGAAATTTCTTGTCCAAGCATAAGTCAAATGTTGCCTGTGTCCAGTCACTGTGCCCATCACTGGGACAGCCTTGCTTCTGAACAGTGTATTTTTGTCACTCTCTGAATTTACAAACTTCTCTCTGAGGTGCCATCCTGGTGTGACTTTCCCATAGTGTCCCCTTTCAATGTCATGTGGAATTCCTTACCTCTTCCAAAGAGAGGAACCGAATGTTTACATGTTTGTATTACCTGCCACCATCCCAACCTGTTCCAGCACAGAGCACAGGCAGACAGCAAAAGGCTTACAAGTACAGTCAGTCAGTGGGTAGGGCAGATTCTAGAAGATGTTTGGAAGTCTAAAGAATCTGCCTACCTACATATGTGTATCTTTAGAGATCCCTCATCTCACAAGGAGATTCATTAGACCTTCCTGGCTCTGCTCCTTGACTTACCTGAGCTGTTGCTTCCAGCCAACATGGTTGGGCTGACAGAGGATCTCCCCAGCCTGCTGGACACCACAGGCGGGCCCGGCGTTCCATCCCATTCCTGAGCTTTCCCTGGCTCCCTAGAGGAAGTTGTCCCATGATATCCTCTCTCTTTGTTTTCCAGCTTTGGTAGTGGTTCAGTGCTGTGACTTCTGATCTTCAGCTCATCTAGTGGTTCTATGAAATACATAAGTGAACATTTTGTTACAGAGCGTCTGTTAATCATCCCCGTCATGTAACAGTCTTTTGCACAATACTCCATATACACCAATCATAAATCTTTTAAGGACAATTTATAGCATTATTTTACCATCTAGGCCAACACCCAGTAGTTTACGTAGGTTTCAATACAGTTTTTAATTATTAAAACCATAAACCACGCAGCAGATGGATAAAATGTAACTTTTTTTTGCTGCAACTTTTATGTACCGTGAAAATAATTTTGAAAATAGTATCATACCAAACTGTGGTTTATTAAAAATGTATAGAAATACTTGGATTCTTTTCAGCTGTCATTTGTTTGGGAACAAGTTCTTCAGGCACTTTCTAAGGAAGCTCTCTCCTAAGGCAATACTGTGCAAGCTACATATCTGTACTCCTTGGAAGCTCTAATAAAAGCACACAATCCACAAAACAAAAGAGCAAAAATCCATTTTGTGTGTGCCCAGCACCATAACCTAGGAAATGAAATTTCACTTGGTTGGAAAATCCTTGGAGTCAGAAAATTACTTTCTGCTTGCAGCTCCACGAGTCAATGTAAAAAGGAGAAACTTAAAACACAACCATAAGATTTTTTCAAGTGAAGCAGTGATGTCTGCTTTCTTCATGGCTGGTGATTTTCTGTTCTGTTCTCAAGACCCTAATTTCTTTTCTTTCACATTGAGCAATGCATGGAGGATCAGTTCATTCCTGTTCTTTTCTTTCTGTAGCTGTTAAAGATTCACATGGAAAACCAGATACAGAAGAAACATTAGACTGTTCTTTAGTTGTAAGAGCTAAATACTGTGCTAGTCAGTTATTCAAAGTTTGCCATTTACCTCTTTTTGGAAAAAAAAAAAGTTCCCTGAGGTTGGAATTTAATACTTGTATTTAAACCCAAAGACACCCTTACATGATACTCTCATGTAAGGATGCAAGTTCTAGTCACATGGGTTTATTAATCAACCTCCTGATGTTAATTTCTTAACTAGTTAACCTTAATTTCTGCATGTATATAATTTCTGTATGTATCTACAGGCTTGAAATCCATATTTGATAGAGGCAACAACCTTCCCTTAAGCCCTGTCTCAAAAACTTTTTGTGGCTACAAGGGATATGAGAAGATTTGAGAGTCAAGCAAAGAGAAAATGCCAGGAGCGATTCACAGGCAGGAGATGCCAACAGGGGCCCTGTGCCAAATGGAAGTGGCCTGGCTGTTCAGGACTGCCAGTCAGAGCAGCCACTTCCTCTCCCAGTTATCCCCAAGGCCAGGAACTGGGACTGTCCAACAGGAATTGCCATTTAGAAGATACAGTCCAGAAAAAGAACCACATTCAAACCTCTTGGATTTGCCCACGGCTCAAAGCCCCCCACACTGCTGCCCATGCTACAGCAAACAGTGAAAGATGTACTATTGGATATCTGTGACAGGTAGAGACCCCACCTGTGCACAGCAGGGACAAAATCTCATGTTGTTTTGGGTTCTTTGATGTTCCTGTCTGCAGATGAACTAAATGAGTAACAACACAGTCAGCCTGGAGTTTCCTCAGTGAAACGTCATATAGGAAAGATGTAAAAATATCTAATAAGATATGCAATATGTAACCATTAGGGTATTTTTGTGAATGACTATCGGTTAACAGTAAAAATTAATGTTAAGGACATCTTACCACAATCTTCAGTTAGCAACACTTCATGAGGAAATGATCAAACCAACCCCAGCCTAGGAACTGTAAATAGAATTCCGTGCCATTTGATGTGACAAAGATCTTCAAAAATCAAACCTCTCCCATGAACTTCTAGGTCACTTACCTACTTTAATGTATGCAAAAAGACACTGAAATGAAAATCCAAACTGTTTGTTTTTCCCAGTTGGTATCCCCAGCAGGGTAAAAGGTTGAATAACAGTCTGTATCAATATAACATGACATCTGCCTTTCAGGGACCTTTGCTATGAGATGTCTGTAACACAGCTCTGCCTGTGACTGCACAGAGAGACTTGCTAACACGAAGAGCTGTGCAAAGAGATGGAGAGCCCAAATTATTACTAGATTTGAACTGTTTCAGTTGTCAACAAAAAGGCTCTTATATTTTTTTCTGAGCATCGAGCTATCAAAAATAGCGATGAACTTTTTCACATAACAGAGGCATACAGTTATATCTGATTTTTTTCTTTACACCAAAAACATTCACTTTTTTAAGCCCCTACTTGTCTGGGAACAGGAAAGATATGAGCAAAGTTTTAAAATTCTTTGGATATGCACACAAATCTTTTTTTCCACCAATACAGGATGCTGTCTAGATTGCTGCTTATTCTTTCCAGCAAAACAAAGAGAAAGACAAAAGAAAAGAATATGCTTTTATAAAGTCAGAAACGGGCCCTGCAAATACCCTAACAACTTAATGCATCATTCAATAGAGTTAATTTAGTATACAATTCAGCTGCTCCTGGAAATGCTGGGATTACATTAGTGAAAACCTCTGAGTGTGCCCCACTGCCACTACTTGAACACCACCCCTTGAAATGTCACCCACTCATGCAGTCAGCCCTTGTTACAGTGGAAATGCCCTGGCTGAGTGCAGAGCTAAGGATTTATCCACTTCAGTTTACTTAACAGAGACGCATTTGTACTTGTTGCCTGATAAAAATGATTTGTGCATTCTTAGTTTTATTATCAGCTGAATCAAAGCACAGCATTTCTCTGCAACCAGCTGGAAACCATGGAAATATTCAGACTAAATAAAGATTTGGTTTATAGTCTTGTTCTTTATAAGGTGTAGAAAATCAGTTTTCAGCTGGCTGTCTAGACTTTGTAAATTTACATTCCACTATCCTTTCTTGGGGATTTTCAGTTCACAGTTTATCTGAAAAGTAATATTTCCTAAAAATGAAAAGCAGATGGAATCAGATTACAGTGTCATGTAACCCATCACAGAGGCTGAATCATTATTATTTGGTGATCACTATCAGTAACATTGATAGATAGAAAAACAACATGTCCATGTTTTATATAGTTTTCTGTAATATTACCTTACTGTTCACTAGAGAACACACAAAAAAATGAAAAAAAAAAATTAATGCCTCGCTTTTACTCAAATATTTTGAGGAAGATTTTATAATAATTTCAGCTTCCTTAATAAATGTCAACGGGAATCACACCCAAATTCAATTAAGGAAAAAAAAAAAATTACTGTGCTAGTTCTTGCTTGACAGAAAGAGCACCTCAATCCTAATGTGTCCAGGACAGCTTCAGAAATACAGAATGCTCCCCTCCCAGGTCTCAGCCCATTACTGGCACATTTGTCAACTGTCCCAGCCACCTGGATGATTTTATACCATCAACTACTATCTGCTGCAAATGTAGCTCCATGGAGCGAGCTCAGTGGCACAAATTATGGTGTCTCATTAACAGCAGATTCACTGCTCCACCTTTTTGCTCCTGCAGCCCGACACAAGGCATGGACAGAAAGCAGAGCACGACTGTAGCTGCTGGCTATAGTTACCTACAGGGTGGTGACCTTACCATGGACTGAAAAACAAACCAGTATATTTTAAACAGAGTGACCCTTTACAACAGCTACAGCCAGATTTAAATGGCCAATTTATTCACATCGACCCCATACTGAAAACACAAACTTACCAGTCAGATGTATGCACATACACCCAGACACAGTGCTGGAAGGTAACAGTAGCTGCTGCACAGCTCTTTTTTTTCATTTTTCATTTGAGAAGTGCAGAAACACAGGATCTAGGTTACCTAGTGCTGTTATAAGCCTTAATTTGGAGTTAGGAACTATCGAAGCTCAGTATTATGCTGGGAGCTCAGTGAATCAAATGGTGGCCACCGGCAAATCTTTTCACAGTCAAGTGCTGTATTTTGAAAGCTGAGATTATTATGGAAAGCATCTTTATTGTTCAATACTTCTTCCACCAAAATGGTACATAAAAATGTAAATTTCAAGAAATAATTCACTCCTTTAAATATTTATGGACACAGTTGGTTAAACTGCCGTAAAGGCATTCAAATGTTTCAAGCACTTCCAGCTGTCATTGTATTTCAATATTCAAGGATATGCTTTTTTTCTTATTTATTTCACCTGAATCTCCGGCTTTTCCATTTAAAGAATAAGTTGGTGGCTAAAAATCTCTTATGGAGTACGTATTTTACAAATAATTGGCAATGTACAATTTCCTCTCTATGAAATGTCCCCGAATTGCTGTGTGCTAGGCAAGGCTGGCACGTGAGCTGTGGTACCAGAAAACTTAGAAGTGACCAAGAAAGTGAGAAACAAACTGAGCCAGTTGTAACTTGGACCAAAGAAAACTGAAATTACAACTACAGAAAGCATCTTACCTAAAAACCTATCATTCAAATGAATGTAAATCTGTGGCCAGTCTGCCACTCTGGTCTTACACAAATTAATTTCAGGTCCAGGTGGTTTCTTAGTGCAATGCTAAGTGATAAATTGCAGAACCTTTATGGTTGCTTGGGGTTTTGGGGGAAGAAAGAAAAGCAATTGTCTTAAGGAACTTAAAATGAGGGTTGCTCTCTGCCATCTCTCTCAGATGTGAGCTGAAATGCATAAGGTAATCCATACATTATTAATTTATTCCTTTTTTTCCCTGTGTGTTTGTTACAAACCCAAATAAATAATACATCACTCTGGGCAGAACTTGCATATTGGGGGAATTAAATGGTACTACCCACAGGGTCTAAAATTCAGAATATACATACAGGTGTAAAGCAAACTAAGTAACTTTGGGTGGAGTTTAGATGTGAGTCAGAACTTATCTCCTCCAGCCTCGACACATCAGACCTCACCTCATCCAGCCACAAGGCAGGCATGGACTGGCTGAAGGAGCAGGAGCACAGAGAATCCCCAGGTGCTCTGTCTGATATGCACATCTGTAACTTTATCCTAACCTCTCCCAAAGAAAAATAATCAGCTATTAATACCACATGCAAGAAACATGGATA